CACAGCGGCGCGGCGAGCGTCTCGAAGAGCGGCCTCCGTCCCGCGAGCGCCGCCAGCGACTGCTCCAGCGCCGCCGCCGCGGCGGCCGTGAGCTCGCGGAGGTGCTCGGGCTTCTGGAGGCAGCGCACGAACTGCTGGTGCGCGACCCTGTCCGTCGCGTCCGCGAACGCGTCCGCGACGTCCGCCCGCGCGACGCCGAAGGCGCCCTCCGTGACGTCCATGCCCGTGGACCGGAACTCGAGGCGCCCGGCGGGCTCGCGCAGCACCCTGGGCCACAGGCCCGGGTCCGCGACGAAGGCCGTGCGCTCGCCGGCGACCGTCGCGACGAAGACGGGGCTCCCGAGCGCCTCCGCGGACGTCTTCAGGAACTCGAGCGGCGCCGCGCCGAAGGCGACGGCGCTGCCGAGGACGGGCACCCAGGACCAGACCACGGGCGGCTCGCCGGGCCGGCGCCGGTTCTGGTAGAGGAGGCCGCCGACGTAGGCGCAGACGACCAAGGCCAGGCACTGCATCTGCCAGGCGGTGTTGGCGTAGGCCGCCGCGGCCGTCATCGCCGCGACGCACGACGCATAGAGGTACTCGGGACACTGCTTGGCGGTCGTTTCTATTGTTTTTTTGGCTACGGTGCCGTCCATGCCGACGACCACGGAGGAAGACATCTCGCTGGCCTCGTTTTTTTCCGCAGTTCGCCAATCCGGGTTGTTGAGGTTCACTAAACGCACATCGGGGCAGCGTTAAGGCATAGACGCCGCCGTTCTGCGCGCACCACCGCGGCGCGTCGACGAAGCGCCATGCCGCCGCGCAGCGTCGACGAGTGGCTCGAGAGCATCAAGTACGGCTACGGCCGGCGCTACGTGAGCTTCTTCGACGAGCTCGGCGTCGAGGACGAGGACGACCTCCGGCGCATGAAGGACGCGCGCGTCGAGGAGCTGCGCCGCCTGCTGGAGCGCAGCGGCATCAAGCCCGTGCAGATGGACTACCTCACGGACGCCGTCGACGAGGTCCGCGGCGCCGGGCGGGGCTGGGGCGACGCGGAGGCGCGGCCGGCGGCCGAGGGCTTCGCGGGCGAGCCGCGCGAGCGGCCGCGGTCCGCGTCCGGCGGCCGCGAGGCCTACGGCGCGCCGCCGGACGCGGCGCGGCCGGCGTCGCCCCAGCGGCCCCAGTCCGCGTCGGCGGCGCGGCGCAAGCCCCGGCGCGACGCGGCGCCCGACTACGCCGTCGAGGACCGCGCGCTCGTCGAGCGCGGCCGGCCCCGGTCCGCGCCCGCGTCCAAACCGGGGTCCTTCGCGCGGAGCCTCGTGCTCCCCCAGCCGCCCAGCGCCGGCGGCTACTGGGCCCAGCCGGCGCCCGCGGACCTGCCGGTGACGCTCGTGAGCCCCGAGCCGAAGCGCGCGCGGAGCCCGAAGCGCGAGGCGCCCGGCTACGAGTCCCTGCGGCGCCGCCAGGTCACGGAGACGCTGGGCCGCCGGCGCCGCGAGCAGCACGCGACGGCGTCCTGGGAGGAGGAGGACGCCGACCGCGCCATGCGCGACGCCGCGGGCCGGGCGACGTGCCGGGTCCGCCGCGACGGCTCGGGCGTCTGGCGCCTCGACATCGACCCGAGCCGCCAGCTCGTCTACAAGCGCATCTCCGCGCCCGTGCGCGTCGACGGCGACCACAAGGCGGCCATCAAGGTCCAGCGGGAGCACGCCGAGGAGATGCGGAAGGTCTTCTCGCACCGCGTCAAGGTCAACCGCGACAAGGACGGCCTCTGGGCCATGAACCTGAAGAAGCCCGAGACGAAGGAGATGGACGCGGACCGCGTCGAGACCTGGCGGCGCGTCACGCAGCCCTTCCGCCTCAAGGGCGTCCACGTCCAGAGCATCGCGGAGATATCCGCCGAGGACCGCGAGAAGGAGGCGGCGAAGAAGCACTTCTACTACGCGTCCAAGGAGTCCCAGGAGTGGTGCACGCGCATGGCCCAGCCGCTCCGCGCGGCGGAGAAGTTCTCCAACTTCAGCCCCCGGGGGATTAACTGAGCCTGCCTTACTGGTCCTCCTCCTTCTTCTTTTTGCCGCCGCCGAACATGCCCATGAGCTTTCCCATGAAGTCCGCGTCCTCGTCGACGTAGCCCTGGTCCGCGTAGGGCAGGCGCAGGTCGAAGCGCTCGCCGTTGTCGTACTGGCCGCCGACGCCGGCCTCGCCGCCCACGCCGAAGGACGGCAGCGGCAGCGGGATGCCGCCCTCGCGCTTTTCGCCGTCGACGCCCAGCCCCGTCTTGAGGTCGCCGATCTTGCCCTCCTTGCGCATCTTCTTCCACGCGATGAGCGGGTCCGCCGTCGGGTCCCGCTGGAACGCCCAGCGGTCGACCTGCTCTTTCTGCGCCTGCACCCGCTTCTCGTCGACCTTCTTGAAGTAGTCGCGCGTCTTGTCCTTGTCCTGCCGCCGGCTCAGGATTTCTTTCTGCTCCCGCATCATCTCGTCCTTCCAGTCGTCGTTCTTCGCGTCGTCCTTGCCGTCGAACCAGCCCCGGAGCGCCATCGAGCGCTGCGGGGCGGTCGGGGCGACGAACGCCGACGCGCAGGCGACGACGAGGAGTAGGCGCATGGATGTCACGAACTCTGCGCCCATAAGATCGGCCGCTTCGGCTACCTGGATGACGATCTCTGCTCCCATAAGATCGGCTCGAACGCTCGCCGCCGCGCCGTTCGGGCAATTCGGCCACAGGCCTGAGGCTCCTCGTCGGACGCCGCGGCCTTCAGCGCGTAAACACGCCCAGCGACCCAGCCGCACCGCCTCACACCGCGCTGCGAGTTCGCCGGACGCGCCGCGCTCCGAACCGCGGCGGAGACCCATGTTCGTCCAGTCCCCGCCGCAGCCGCCGCCGTCGCCGCACGCCGCGGCGCCCGCGGCGCCGTTCACGCCGCACGAGCACGCCCTCTTCGTCGAGGGCGTCGAGGTGTTTTGCAACCAGTCCGGCGCGCCCGTCGGCGACGCCGCCTGGCGCCACATCGCCGCGCACGTGCGGACGCGGACGCCCGACGAGATCAAGGCGCACGCGCAGTACTACCTCATGAGCCTCCAGTCGCGCAACCCGGAGATCACGCGCGTCCCGCCGCGTCCCGCGCGAGCCGCCGCGCGCGGGCGACGCGCCGGAACACGCGCGGCAAAAACATATTTCGCGCGCGCGCGACGTTCCCGTTTCGCTTCCGCGGCCGCGCGGCCGCGTCCCACTCGCGTCCTCCCAGGCTCGCGTCGACGGCGGGCACGTGGACGCCGGCGTGGTCGCCGGCGGAGAACAAGGCCTTCGAGAACGCCCTCGCGACCTACGAGGAGGGCGACGCGGACCGATGGACGAAGATCGCCGCGCTCCTCCCGGCCAAGTCCGCCGCGGACGTGCAGCAGTGGTACGAGCGGCTCCTCGGGGACCTCCTCGAGATCGAGCGCGGCGCGGGGCAACGAGGCTAGCCGCGGCCGGCGCCGCCCGCGCGACGCGGACTTTTGTTAGGCACGCGGGCCTTACGCGCGTCCGCTACGCCTTACACGCGCGCTTCGCGTCGAGCTCGCGCCCGAGCGCCGCGAGCGCCGCGTGGCGCGGCGCGAGGTGCGCGTCGGCGGCCCGCTGGGCCGCGGGCGTCGCCGCGCGGTTCTTCCGGTCGCTGTCCGCGCGCGCGTTGAAGCGGCCCGCGCCGAGCAGCGTCTCGTGGCCCTTGGAGTACTTCTCCGACGTCGCGACCATGGCGCGTCGCGCCCGGTCGTCCACGTCCACCCCGAAGAAGTGCGGGAAGACGTCGTCGACGAGCGCCGCGGTCATGTCCGCCGTGTACTCCAACACGCGCCCGCAGCCGTCGTGGCCCGCCTTGGCCGCCGCGAGGGCGCCGTCGCAGAGGTGCGCCAGGTGCGCGGCGCAGTAGTCCTCCGGCGGCGCGTCCGCGCAGCCGTCCAGCAGCGCGCAGACGTCCTTCGGCGTTCGTCGTTGCTTCGCGACGCAGACGGCCCTCCCGAAACCGCGGGCGCCGTGGGACATCAGCACCTGCACGGGATCGCGGTGGATGAAGAGCCAGGGCACGTCCGGGAAGGCGTCGAGCACGTCGGCCATGCGCGCGGACACGGCGCTCTGAAATTTCACGAAGAGCTTCGCGTGCGGCCCCCGGGCCCCGTCCCGCGTCGTCGGCGCGCCCAGCAGCGCCACGTAGTCTCTCAGCGCCTCCCGGAGCGCCGCGCGCGACGCCTTGCGCGACTCGGGCAGGCGCATGCCCTCGGAGTAGACGAGGTGCGACGGCACCGCCGCCAGCAAATTCGCGGCGAGCGTCGAGCCGACGCGGCTCTCGTGGAAGATGAAGGCCGACGGTTTCAGCGGCGGGCCGAGCTTGCGCGCCGCGGCGGCGGCGTCGGCGAGCTTCACCTCCTTGCGCCGGTCGGCGCCGCCGCAGCCCGACTTTTGCTGCAGCGCCGTGAACTTGGGCGCGTCGTGCGGCGCGCGCCAGTAGCGGTCCCAGTCGACGAGGCACATGGTCACGGACCAGCGCACGCCGCTGTCGCCGAACTCGCGCGCCGTCGTCTGGATGGGCACCCAGAGCTCCGGGATGTGCACCGACGCGTAGGGCGTGGCGTCGTCGGCCGCCGGCGATGCGTCGTCGCCGCGCAGCGTCGTGTCGCGGAAGCGCGCGCTCGCCGCCGGTATGAGCCACGGCGCGGCGAGGAAGAGAAACATGGCGCAACAGGCCCAGCGCTCCGCCGCCGCTCGCGCAGCGCTGCGCGCGGGACGATAGCCCATCGCGGCGCCCGCTGCTCAGCGCTGAGTAAACTTTGCCTTTATGAACTTCAGCAACGCATCAAAGCCGCAAAATTATGTCATTATGGGCTGCCTGATGCTGCGCCATCTACTCTGCTGCGCCGCGCTGCGGCGCGGCCTCGCGCAGGGCGACGCCTACGCGCGGCGCATGCAGCCCCGCTACCACGTGGCGCCGGAGCGGAACTGGCTCAACGACCCCAACGGCCTGGCGCAGGTCGACGGCGTCTACCACGTCTTCTTCCAGCACAACGAGCGCGCGGCGACGTGGGGCAACATCGTCTGGGGCCACGCGACGAGCACGGACCTCGCGCGGTGGACGCGCGAGCCGCCCATCCTCCGCGACCCGCCGCCCTACGAGGCCGGCGGCGCCTGGAGCGGCTCGCTCGCGCGCGTCGGCGGGCGCCTCGCGGCGCTCTACACGTGCGTCGACGGCGCGCGCGCGAACCGCCAGTGCGCGGCGTTCCCGGAGGACGCGACGCTGAGGCGGTGGGTCCGCGCGGTGGAGAACCCCGTCGTCGCGGCGCCGCCGCCGGGCGTGCCCGGGTCCCTCTTCCGCGACCCGACGGAGGCCTTCGCCTGGCGGGGGCGGACCTACGCGGGCGTCGGCGCGTCGCTGGACGGCCGCGGCGCCGTGCTCCTCTACGAGGCCGCGTCCGCGACGAACTGGACCTACGCGGGGCCGCTCTGGCGCGCGCCGCCGCCGCCGCCGGGCTGCCGGGGCTGGACCGACGGCCCGCGCTGCGCGTCGATGATGGTCGAGTGCCCGGACCTCTTCGCCCTCGGCGGCGACCGCTACGCCCTCAAGGCGAGCCTCGGCGGCCGCCTGCGGCGCGACGTCGTCCTCGTCGGGACGATGAGCGGCGACCCGCCGGCCTTCGCGCCGGAGGCGCCGCGGCCGCGCTGCGGCGGCGGCGGCTTCCGGCCCGCGGCCGACGCCGCGGCGGACGCCGAATTCGGGACGCGCCTCGACTGCGGCGGCGCCTACGCGGCGAAGAGTTTCACGGACGACCGCGGCCGGCGCCTGAGCCCGGCCCCGCGTCCCGCGGCCATTTTCGAGAGATTTGGGGTGGGAACACGAGGAGACATCGTCACCGTCATGCTCGGTAGGCCTGGCCTGGGTCCGCGACGCCGCGCCGGCGAGCTTGCCCTACGACGGCGCCTTGACGCTGCCGCGCGTCCTCACCTGGTCCGAAGCCTGCGGCTGCCTGCTCGCGCGCTTCGCGCCCGACCTCGAGGCGCTGCGCGTCGGCGAGCCGCTCGCGGCCGAGGCGGCGGACCAGCGCCTCGCCTTCGTCGGCGACGGCCTCGCCGACGCCGCGGAGCTCCGGCTCGCCGTCGACCGGCCCGCGGACGCGAAGAACTTCTACCGCTGCGTCGTCCAGCTCTCGCGGCGCCGCAAGACGCTCATGGCGTCGGTCTGGTGCAACGCGCCCGACGACCGCGGCGATTCGGCCTGCGCGGTCGGCGTCGAGGACGCGCTCACGACCGCGGGGCTCGCGAGCCGGACGCGGCGGGACGCGAACGCGACCGCGCGCGCCCAGGCGCGCTACTTCGAGAGCCTCACGCTGCCGGACCGGCGCCTCCGGGAGAGGACCGCGCACTGCGCCATGTCGCTGACGCTCCGGGGCGGCGAGCCCCTGGCCTTCGCGATCTACGTCGACGGCTCCCTCGTCGAGTGGGACGTCGGCGGCGGCCGGACGGCCTGCGCGCACCGCTGGTACGACGCGCTCGACGCGCCGGCCGACGGCGCGCTCCGCGTGTCGGCCGTGGCCCACGGCCCCCGCGCGGGGCGCCGGGAGCCGCCCTTCGCCGCGCACCTCACGGCGTGGCGCCTCGCCCCCGCGTTTCGCGAGGTTGGTTAGGTGAACTGGGTCTTCGTCTCGTCGTCGTCGGCGTAGTCCTCGAAGTCGTCGTCGTCGTCGTCGTCGCCGTCCTCGGAGACGGCCTTGGCCTCGGCCTCCTCGTAGGGGCACTCCGTGAGGCCCGGCTGCTGGATGAGGGGCTTGGTCCAGTGGGGCCGCGTGTGCCAGCGCAGCAGCTCGAGGTCGAAGATGAGCTTCGCGTTGGGCGGGATGAGCGGCTTGACGCCGTCGGAGCCGTAGCCGTACTCGGGCGAGATCGTCAGCTTCGACCGCTCGCCGAAGGACATCTGGAGCACGCCCCGGTCCCAGCCGCGGATGACCTGGCCGATGCCCAGCACGAACTCGAAGGTGCGCTTCGACTTGCGCGTGTTCTCGATCTCCTTGCCGCCGTCGTGGAGCTTGCAGACGTAGTGGCACCGGACGACGTCGCCGATCTGCGGGTACGTCTCCTCGTCGCCCGGGAAGAGCACCTCGATCTGCACGTTGTCCCGGTCCTGCTTCAGCTCCAGCAGCTCCTCCTCCGTCGGCAGGAGGTCGTCCTCGTCGACGTCGTCCGCCGCGAGGACCTCGGGCCCGAGGTCGTCGTTCTCGCTCGACGAGCTCGACGACGACGACGCGCCCTGGGACTCGTCGTCGTCCATGTCGTCCTCGACGTCGTCGTCCTCGACATCTAAATCGTCGCCGCCGTTCTCCCGGCGCTCGTAGCGGAGCTTGTACTTGCGGAGCGCGACGTCGATCCTCCGCTGGTGGAGCCGCTTCGTGATGCCCAGCTCCTTGAAGTCGTCCTCGTCCATGTTCAGCAGCAAGAGGCCGTCGACCTTGGAGGCCAGCAGCGACGGCACGTGCTCCTCGAGGTCCAGCTCCAGGAACCAGGCGACGACGTGCTCGTTGCGCCACTCGTCGAAGTTCTTCGCGCGCTTCTGCCCCTTGAGGGCGTCGGCCATGCGCTTCAATCTCACCTCCTTGCCGAGCTGCTCGTAGGTGCCCTGCTTGACCTCCTCGATCTCCGCCTCCTTCTCCTCGAGGCGCGCCTTGAGCGCCTTGATCTCCTCGTCGCGGCTCACGATGAGCGCGGAGTCGGGCCCGAGCTGCGGCGCCGCGTCCGCGCCCAAGAGATGCATCTTGTCCGCCGGGTTGTCCCAGCGCACCTCCTTCGTGACCGTGTTCGTGTAGTAGTACTCGCCGCTGTCCGGGTCGAAGTCCTTGCGGTAGATCTCGGGCATGAGCGCGTTGACGCGCCGCCTCGCCAACTTGGCGCGGAACACGGCCTGGATCGTCGTCGCCTTGCCCACGGCCGCCCGGTCGTTGCGGTAGGGCGGCATGGCCCGCAGGACGATGGGCAGGTCCCAGTGCGACTCGCCCGTCATCTTGTTGTAGTAGAAGTAGTCCTCGCTCTCGGCGTCGTAGCCCACCTCGTAGACCGACCGCGCGACGGCGAGCAGCCGGTTCGCGCCGGACTTGAGCCGCACGACGGCCTGGATCTTCGACGCCGCCACGCGCCGCACCTTCCACGCCGGCGCGTCCATGTCGAGCGGCGCCATGGCTGCCGTTGAGGGCGTCCAAAACCTCGAGCGCGCGCGGGCTGCCCGAGACAGCGCGGACGGCAGAGCTTACGTCTCCAATGCACGCCGTGTTGAACCTGTTGAGATTCCCGTTTCCCGCCCAGCTCGCTTCGCTCTCCCGAAGCGGACATCCACTCTGCTTCGCGCGCAACCCGCACGCACCCCCAAAAACACCCCCGCACCCGCTCTCTCGCCCCCCGGTCCCGTCCCCGTAGGCGCACGGACCCTTCATCGTCTTTTTTTAGAGACTCTCCCGCCCCGCGCGCGACTTGAATCGCGTATCCTTCTCCCGACGTTCCTTTCAAAAGAGAGCATGTCTTCCCTCCGCGTGACCGCCGCCATCACGCCCACGAAGAGCCGCAAGCGCTCCGCCGCCGCCGCCGCCGTCGTCACCCCGCCCAAGGGCAAGAAGACCAAGGCCGCCGCGCCGACGCCGTCGACGCCCGTCGACGAGGGCAAGTGGCGCCAGGCCATGCGCGCCTCCGGCGCCCGCCCCCGCGCGCGCCCCGCCCCCGCGCCCCCGCGCCGCGCCCTCACGCGCCCCGCCCCCCAGGTCCATCTTCCGCAAGTTCATGCCCGGCCTCGGCCACGACGGCGTCGGCCTCTACGGCACGCTGACGAACGCGACGATGCGGCGCATGATCGAGAAGGTCGAGTGCGAGGACCGCACGCACGTCGACGTCGGCGCCGCCGACGGCAAGGTGCTGCTGGGCGCCATGGCCCTCGGCGCGCGCC